GTTCTCCAAACACTCTTCGGTATAGCGCCACTATGGTTTTGGCTGCCAGTGAAGGGCAAGCAGCATGAATTGCTTTGACCAAAGAAATGCACCCCTGATCAGTTGCATATGTGCTTGGCCTTACATTTATATCACGTTTCAGCACTCGCTCTCCGCAGGCTCATGAAATTTAGGTCAGTACTGAGCGAAATGCAAGAGAGGACGAGCAGAACGGCAGGAGCCAGGCGCTGAATGAAGAATAGACTGACTTTTATGCTGGAGCTGACCTTAGCTTTTTTTTTTTTTTAAAGAAGTATGCCTCGCATATATGAGTTTCAGGTGTATTTAATCTGAAAGTACTGTTACAAAAGCCCAAGTTCGCTGGACATTAGTGAGAGAGATGGAAAAAAATAAAAATATCTTCAAGGTAAAGCAACTGGCCAGACCTTTCATGACCTGCCTGTCAGTTCCACCTCTGAAAGCCTGTAGAAATCCCCCAAGAATCCATCACCTTAACAACAGACTTGTTACAGACTCAAACAGATCTCCGCCCAAGAAACCCTCAGAAATACTATAGGGCAGTACTGTATTTGAATGTTAAGGGGAGCTCGGAGAAGGCACCAAGCTACTTCTGGTGATCTAATATAGGTACCGTACACCGTTATGCATTGGTCAACCCAAAAAGGAGGGGTTTGGAGGGAACAGTGTCACATTCCACGTTAAAAGAATAGTTCCACTTCTTAGAAAAACACATTGACTCTTCTTGGCGAGCATTAGAGCAACATGACGTCAGAGTTGGGAGGAATTTAGTTTAGCTAAATTAACATAGCTTAGAGCTATAATGTAGGGTGCTAGTTAACTGCCCTCTGGATGTATAATGAACAAATAATAATAAAATGATATTAATCTTTGAATCTAACCCCTGGAAAAAAGAGAACAGGTGTATTTTCCAAAATGTCAAACTATTCCTTTCAAACAAACCTGATGCAAACAATAAAAGTTAATGATACACATATTTTCATGTCCCATTTGAAAATAAAGGCCCAAATGCCCAAATGGTGATAGCTAACATTTACAAAAAATTACTTTGACTCTGGACAATATTATGCCTACATGTAACAAAGATGGTTTATAGATTCTTTTTCTTTGTGCACTGTTGATAATGGTCAAAGTACAACAGTGAAATGGAAACAAATCACACCGACTGGATCCTTTGCTGCAGTTGAGGAAAACTGCCTCTGTAGCTCATATGCAATTAAAATTATGTGTGGTAGGACCATCTAGATGCGAGTATTGAGTATTCCATGAAACGGCATACAAGGTATTTGGGTATCATGGAATGAGGTTCCATTGCGAGAAGTCAAACTGAGAGCGAGACCTGTCTCTTCAACTACCCCACTCACTGGTTGACTGTGTGCTGGCGAGCTCAAAACAGTGTTTTTAATTTTCCACAGAAAAACACAGATGAGCTCCTTTGCAGCTGACTGCTTATAAAAGCATCCATTAAACACAGAGTGGTACGGGTATGCATGCATGACATCTGCCAATATACACTGCAAAAATATCCAGCGTGACCTTCTCTTTTTATGCAGTATGTGTGTGATGGGCCTTCTCCATCATCATTCACTCAGTCAATCTCACATGCATACATAGCCTTGTTAGTTTTGGTCAGTACACAGTAGAGGAACGTGTTCAGTAGACAACTACTGCGATGTTAAAACAGCAAAAGCTCAGGGATATAACAGTTCACAGGAGTACAGAGTCCCTCCACCCAGAGTTCTGAGGCTAGAGGTTGGGCTTATAGTCAGAATGAAACTTAAGATGGAGAAAAGGCTAGAAAATGGCCTGGATTTGAGTCTGTAAGTGCCGCTGAGGCTCATGCTTGTATTTTACAACTGTTTTAGGGAAGTGGTCTGGGAATAAGTTAAGAAAAATGGCACTTGTACCTGGAACTGTGGCTGGAGTGCGCAATTACAAACTGTAAGCCTTGAGCTCATCCACTGGTAGGATTAAGGAAATTTGGATTGCCTGAGTCTGAGGGTTTGTTTATTCAAAAAGTAACTCCTGGGAGTCAATGGGTAAACTACAACAAGAGTTCAGACTAAGATCAAATGCAACCGTTAGAAATTCAAGCCAACTGCTATCTCTTTGCTGCATAAAAGTCTAAACTACAAACTCACCAGCCTGCAGGGAACGACCATTCGATAGTCAAAACTTGGATTTTGGACAGAGTTTCACTTTAAGACAAATGTGGGTGTGAGTTCCAACTTACCCTTATTTTTACTCGAGCTGCCTCCACCCCTCCCGGCTGCCCTGCAATGGAAACCTGTTCACAGTAGAAAGTAACAAGTAAAATCAGTTAGCGAATTCCAACTCGCTCCAAGACAAATAACGGCTCAGGATCATCACATATAGTTGCACTTCATGTCACTGTTGAGAGCAAAATCTGGACCAAACATAATGAAAACAGGAAAGCTTTAAAAGGTTTCTCCCTCCAAACTGAAACCTAATCACTTTTTCTGACATATTTCCACTTAGTTTTATATTTTTTTATATTCTTGAGCCACATCATTACTATTTCAATGAATCCATCATCGTGATAAGAAAAACCATCGTCCACAATTTCAGACATTGTCTTTTTAACAAAACCACTAAGATGACGGGCCAGTAAATTTCCACAGAAATGAAAAGGGTGAGAAACGGTCTCATTAGATTTTTCCTCTGATTCTTATCCCTCTTTCATACCCAACTGCTCACCACTGTGGAACCAACTACAGTGGTACAGCTCCAGATAAAATACGACAGCTTTTGGAAGCTATTATTAAAGAAGTAGCAATTAAACAAATAAAGCAGGTCAGTCTGGTTCTCTGGCTGCCATTAATTTCATGAACAAAACACACATCTAATATAGAGTATATGCACACATATACATGGCAATTATATCTTTTGAAATGAAATCCATCATTGCCTCATGTTAGCAAACATCTTCCCTACTGAAATGTGCCACAACAATATCCTGAATCCCACCAGTGAGAATGAAAGGCAACTAACCACTTCATTAATTTTCACAGTTCTCTAATATTTGCTTAGCAACACCACTGCACTTGTGGATATGCTCTGTAACTCAAAGGCTCAACTGCAAACCAGAAGTTTCTGAAATCATCGAGTGATTACAAGGTCACTGGCATGAACGGAGGGTCTGTACTTATTAGCCTATACTTGCATTATCAGAGTCAAACTGGAGGGGGTTGAACACTCCATGAGATGCATAGTACCAAGATGTTGAATGCTTTGCATAGGTATAACACACAACGCAAAATCTAGAGTGATAAGGTTAAAATAAGTGAAGTAGACCTTGAGGGATAAAACCAACAACGAAACTGTCAGCACTTTATACACAGGTACATTGTAGAGCACCTGGAAAAGTTAATCATGTAATGGCGTGCCTGGCAATGTGCTCTCCTGACCTCTTCATACTACACTTTAATGGTAATTACAGCAGCATCCTACCACTCTTCTGGCGGGTCCAGCCATAACACACTGGCTTCCTATGGGGTTGCCAAACAAAACAGCCAACAGGGCCAACTCTCTGCAACCTGTCCAGCCCGTAATGGACTGGAGTGATGCGCACACCGATCAAACACACTATTCAGAACCTAGGAACTAACAACGTACTACTGAAATAAATTCACTCAAAGGCAGCAGAATAATTACTCATTACACATACACTCAAAACAATCATGTTGCAACGTCAGAGGCTCTTTGATGAGCCAGCGGTAAACCTCTTGCACATCTATTTATCATGGCTTAGTGTGACTGCCCAGTGTAAGTCTGTTACAGCAGCACAAACCTGGTTGCTTTTCTCTGCTTGGTTGTTCCTATTAGAGTCTGGGAAATGGATGTGGCACCCCGTCTCCTCCATCACCCTCTTGATGTTGTTGCCACCTTTGCCAATAACGTGGGAGTGCTCTGTGTGGGAAACGTCCATCTTCAGAGTTACCCTGTTACTCTAATGAACAGAAAATAGACGGTTGGGAAGATCATTTATAACCCTCACAAGACCTCAGTGAGTGGTGTATGGTACTAAGAAAAATACGTTTTAGTATATGTGAAAAGCGCTATAAACAAATACAGACATTACAAAAAGGGCAGCCTGGCAATTCTTACAAAGCAAATTTCATCCACTGCATTCATTACAAGCTGCACTGCCAAAAATATTGTTGTAGCTGTAACTGCCTTCCTCAAGTGACTTGTGGTTAATGCAGCCACCTAATGTACAGTACAACGTACAGCACCGTGGAATGTGTTCCTGAGGCACAACACTGTATCCAGTATCACCACTAACAGTTTATAAAGCTCACTATATAACCACCATCACCGATCAAATCTAATTTGTCTGCGTAACATTTTAAAGTGTAAAACAAACACCAAGGAGGACCAAGATAGACTATACTCTCTGGAATCGCACCCTGCTTCTCTGATTACAAATGCCGCTTCACTGAGAGTCCAGTGCAGCATCTATCTGTTTTACTCCTTCACTAAGACCCAAATCCCTCTTTTAACACTTTCAGATGCTATAGGCATTTAGAAAAGAAGCAGATGAGCATCAAAACATGCACCCCATTAAAAAAAAAAACCAAATTATCAAATAACTCCGCTGTGTGCGCCAGACAGAAACAGACCTTTCGTGACAAAACCATATGAAATCCTATAAACTAAGCCAATCAAGTCTTGCAGTTCAAGCTGCATGAATGATTGCCTGCCCCCAGGGGGTGCTACAGTGCAGTCCCCCAGGTGGATGATTTCTTGTGTTGCCATGGCAGTGAAACCTGCATGCATATACTGCAATCCATGACAAATTCAGGTTGTGCATGTCTGGTTAGATTAGTGCCAAGTTGTACCACACTGCTGTGTGCAATGTGTCATTTGGACAGCAGGAGAGTGGAAGTGAAATAATCAGGCCAACTATAAGGAAAGGGCGAGAAAGATGGACACAGAGAGCAAGAAAGAGGAGACACGGACAATTCTACACAGACATGAAGTCTATCTTCATGGCGATAAAGATGCTTACTGTACCTTTGTGTCAAGGACAGACATAATTCTGTCTTTGGCTTCCCTCACGTTCTCCCTCTTCCCGCATACCTTGATGTGTGGATCTGGAGGGAAGGAGAGGACAAAAAAAAGGGAAAGATTAAAATTGGGAGATATTTAATCTGTGTCTATGATCATTATGTGTGCAAGTCAGTGCTGATAAAGGGCAAAGACAATGTGAAAGTCAGACATATTAAATCCATTTAACCAAAGATGACACAGCAGTCTGCATTTGTCAACAAGTTGCAGTACATCAGAATAAAACTATGCGACAGTAATTGGTGCTTTGATAGTTGCCGAGTCTCATTTAAGTCGGCAAGCAACCACACTGCATGGGAAAGAGGAGGGAGAAGTGCAGCTCTGTAAAATTATATTCAGCAATCCATCAGTCAACAGAGCCCACAGAACCACTATGAGCTGATGATAATTATTCTTCTGTGTTTTGGCCTCAATAAAAGATACTCATGCGATGCTTATCACCTAATTTCCTGAACCTCATTCTATCAGTTCCTACAAAAAAAAAAAAAAAAAAACATACAAGTAATTTATCAGCTTCCTTCTGAAAGGCTTTGTTGCACAAGAGACAGAGTGCTCTTTATCAGCCTTCACCCAGAGAGCACTGTCTCCTCAGATTCAAGAAAAGATGAGTGAACCTACAACTAGTGCTGGGTATCTAACTTTGATTCTTTTATGGCATTGATTGAATTACTTCAATACCACTGAGTACCGAAAAATGCTTTTCTACATTTGTATTTATTGATGTTAATGTTAATGGAACTTAAGGCTGTGGTAAATAGGCTTACTTTTTATGTTATGAAACTGCTTTGAGAGCACAAAAATGCCAAGGAATTGTAAAATAAAACTAGGTATCAAAAATAAAAGTATAATTTAGGAACCAGTATCGAAGTCAAGGTATCAGTATCGACAATTTTGGAGTGATACCCAGCCCTACCTGCAAGATCCAAATTTTCAGTGTAAAAACTGTGAGAACACAGAAAATCATGCAAGTAAGGCCCTAATAGAGCGAGTAAACCGTTTCCACTGATGACGTCAGCCTTTAAATGCTTCAGTCAATACAACCAAACACTGCATACCTAAACCATTCCAAGCTAATACTTGTTTGTACTACTACATGCCACACCCCATGAGAACACTGGTGTGAAAACACAACAAACGCAAATTCAAATATCTACTACTACTACGCACCCACAGTCCATCACCTCTCTGTTAACTAGTGAGTGACAAGTCGTCCAGTGAGACCTACTTCGAGGAATACCCCTCCCCATACACACAGCATCTCAGATTTAAAGCACAGCCTTAGGACAGGACCCAGTGAACCAAATTCACTGATACAAAGTCACTGGGAAATCAGGGAACCTCACAGTTGGACTTGTGTTGAAAATTCTTCAAATAGCAGAAATGAGAACATCTAGAAAAAGACCATCAGAATAAACACATTTTTCCTTCTCTTATTTACCATCATTCCCTCCCCACTCAGTTAATAGGATACACACACGCTTGCTTATTTACTCTGGGCATCTACAATTGGCTGTCTACATGTTATTTATTTTCATTATTATCATTATTTGTATTTGGCTGTTGTCATATCTACCCTGTATATTGTTATATTTCCTCTGTGTTTTGCCACATTGTGCATTCAACATTGTTTTCTCTGTCCCTACTGAGAACCCTATGTACACTACACACAAAAAAAAAAAAAAAATTCCAAACTTTTTGTGAAGACGAGGAAAGTTCATACCAAATTACATCTAAATACTAACAGCTCACAAAAGCCAAACCAAGATGCTGTCCATGTCTCAGCCTCAGCTGAACAAGGGCTAGGCAGAATGAAGAACTCTGTTGCTCCCAAGTATCTAAAGGAGCTTTGGCTTGTTGTTTAATGGGCACTGGGAACTATGAGTGCCAGCAAACAAGCACTGATCTTGTTAGAGTGTTATGGGGTCAGACTACATCACCTGAGGGAGTAACAACAGCTCTTTTGAGGTTTGAGGGGCATGAAATAAACAAAATCCAAGCTGCAGTCTGAGACAGGAAAACAAAAGAGCAGTTAGAGATCCATCACAGTCTCAGTACGGGTTCCAGGGAATTTTTCCCATCATACAGCTGTTGCTGTGAACAATAGAAATTTCTCAACTTCCTCCTGCGGCGCCTGCTGTGACCATTAGAGGGAGTATGGTTCTTCCAGTGTCCAACATGCACAGCACATCTGGCAAACATTAGCCAGTCTAAACGAGTGTTCCAGTCATGATGTAGAACACCCCCGCATTTTTGAAGACTGAGTGTGTTGTATGCTCTTTTCTGACAATTGATTGTAGAATAAAAAAAAGAACACCTTAATTTGGCGCATGTAACACCTATAAAAATAAACACAAACAAGAGCAGAATTACAGCTGCAAAAAGTGAGCCTTTTCAGTTGCACAGATTTCATACAGTTCCACTTGACAGAGAAGAAACCTCTCGACCCTGAGCTTTGTGCTGGCAAAGCTAAAGCATTTTTCCAGCTAGGGACTACATTAAAAATACCACACAAATGAAGGGAATTAAGTCCTTTTGGCTTTCTGTTTCTCATTCAAAACATCTGTAGAAACACTGGAACAGGCAATTGGAGAGTAGTAAGATATTTATCACCTAAAAACAAGACAAACATCAAACTTTAGGTATTAAAATATGAAGGTCAGTCCTCAATATTGACCACTCCATCCCAAAAACTTCTGAAGCAGCGTCAGACATGTCGCATACATAAGTGATATGACTCCTCACTCACAGCATACTGATGATGACTTGCCCCAGAGGCTAACTACTGGCCTTATTGCATGTTTGCAGGTGGCAGGGATGGCTACCTGCAGGTGATAATAAAATGGAGGAGCTGGCATTTTGAAGAACAGCTCTGTACAGGAGAGGTTACAAACAGTCCAATCCCCTCATATCTGCCCCTACCCTGCTGAGTGTAACCAGTTCCAGCACAAGAAAGACAAACACTGATGCAAAATTCCATTAAAAAATTCCAGGAAAACAAGGCAAACTAACATCCTTACAGAGTATGACTTTAGATTAGAATAACTGATGCTAATCTGCACCAACAAAACAGCTACGTCACCGGCTATTTCAAGACCAAATGATGCTCAACACTGCAAGCGAGTTTTGTGTTGTCATATCTAGTGTTACACAGTAAAGGAAGAATGGAATGTGAATCATTATCACCAGTAATTTTGAACTTCAAGTGATACATCTACATGTATCCCAAGTAAAATTTAAGCCTTAAGTTTGTTTTTGTTTTTTTAAGCTGTCTTGCTCTTTCTCTCTCCCTCCCTCCCTCCCTCAGGCCCATGATTGTTAAAAGTGATTATCCAACATTCTTCCACTCCGCTCCTCTCAGTTTACCCAACAGAGGAAAAATCTGACAGGCTACAAATCATGGGTCAGAATTTATATTATTCTATATTCTCACTTTGTACACAGAGCTTCATTCCCAGGTGGTGGTGTGAACAAACTAACCCTTGGGGTATATGAATGGTTGTGTGTGAAGGGACTGCCCAGATTTACTGTTAAAGATTCCGATTTTACCCCATCAATTGGTTTATGGAAGAGTCAGTGGGGAAGTTACATAATTTCACTGGATTCCACATCTGGCTTGAAGATGCACACTGTTAATCCTACTGAGGACAACAAAGTGGGCACAACTAGACCTACTCCTCACCGCCCGCTGTCGCAAACACTGCCTCACCTGCTCCTGGAAGAGCTTTAAAAAAGCGTGATAATATTTTATTGGTAACAGAGCCCTGGAACAACTTGGCCAATAAATGCATGACCTTAAATACTGTACAAACAACTCCCACACATCCGCCTCCGCAGCAAAATCACAAATTCCTTCATGAAGATGAAATTACTGGCATGTGAGGAACAGAAAAAAATGAAAGCTTTAATCTTTTCAAAACTTCTCAATGAAATTTTTCAATTACAGATGTTAGTGAATACATTTTTCTGGTTAAAACACTGGCTCATAATAATTAACTTATGTTAATTACAATACATTAACTTCTGTTTAGTTGTTAGTATTATTGCTGGACACTTTATAAATCACTTGCTAGCACTGCATTTCTGTTAGCGAGAGGCATTTAAGGAAAGTCATGAAAACTATGTGCATGGTAAGTCTGCAGACTTTCTGTGAGCCCACTATTCATCCAACACTAAAGTCACACAAGGCAAAAGAAATGGACGCAGGAGTTAGCTCCAATATAAGGATAGTCTGAAAATGGGATTATTAAAAAAAAAAAGAAAAAAAAAGAGTTACCTTTTTTGGACTTGGCTCCGATTTTCAGTTTGGACGGCCATGCTATCTGTGTCTGGGTCTCATCCATGATCTGGAACAGAGTGAAGGAGAACCAACGTATATCAGTATTGGCACAGTTGACAGGCAAAAACAAGCAAACAAAACAAAACAAAATCTTAATTTTGACAGACAATTTTATAACGTTCTAGTGGCACACTCGGAACTTTACGGCTGCCACCCATCTGCAGAATGTACGTTGGCAGGAGAACAGTAAATTATCAGCTTTATATCAATAATTTCAAGCTTTAATAACAGCATTGGGCTGTAGTCAGTATTATAGAGGACCTCTGTAGAATTATTTTTTCCATTGTCTACATGAGGCTTAGTTTGAAGCGTGGACTCTTCAGTGCTTCTCCTGCGCTAGCAAACATCCACTTTGTTTATACCCACTTCAGAGAACATATGAAGTGAGACAGCAGACGGCAGGTACAAAGAACAGCCTTACACCATGAAAAATGGGGCAAAACATTAAAATGTCAAAAAAAAAAAAAAAAAAAAAAAATCTTCACAGGTTATGGAACTCGGAGAAGCAAAACAGCTGTATCCTCTCTTTATGTGTGTCTGGTGATATATGATGTTACCACATATTGCTTTGTTTCTGCACAACACCTGAACGCTCCCAACGTAACACCGCCATAATAAAGGTTTGGGGGGGAAAACGGTAAGTATGCTTAGCATTTTTCAGATGTTCAAAGCCAACGATGTATTTAAGAACCCTTTGACAGTCTAGTCTAGTCATCATAACGAGGAGCACCGTAAAATATGCGCTGTCAATATTTCAGTCAGGGGAAATCTTTTATCCAATCTCCTGCTCCTCTTTCCAACCATGAGGACGCTCACCACCGTGCATGGCTTCCTGGCTACAAATTCACAAGCAAACTCCCTTGCGAACTGCCCACATGACAAGTGGTTGATGCTGGTGGGAGAGACGAAAAAAAAAAACTGCCAGACCTTCCCAAAAATGAGACGCTAACATGCTCTCTCATATGGTTCTGTCCTTAATGTACCCTAACCTTGTTTTCACAAAGGTCCCGCTGTCTTTTGTTTGTTTTAAAGCTTCTCTGGGGTTTGTGTTTTCAGGGTAGAGAAGATATGAATTTCTCAAAGTTCTCAAAGCCACGTGCTCAAGCACCCAAGGACTGCTTCAGCCCCATTACATGAGCAGCAGACACCACTTAGTACTCCACAGTGGGCTAGTGATTTACGCAATAAGCCACATATTGTAACTCAGAAGAGAGAAAATGTGCATTAAGAGCCACTGGTGCATCATATGAAGATTAGGTGTTAGGCTTTTTAGCACTGCTGCAGCAATTTATAGCATTCATAATTTTCTTAAACATTTTCTAAATATACCTGCTATTTTCATTCCAAAACATATAAACAACAGCCTGCATTCCTAAAGTAACTTTTCAACAAATCAAAAAGGGAAGTGCTTAAATTCCTCCACATGCTCTTCTGGAAACAGCATGTCCGTTTGGCATCCTTCACAACTAATTCTGACAGTTATTTGAACGCCAGTCTCTCACACACCTGCAAAACAGAAACAGATTTACTCTTTACTCTGCAGCTATATACTCAAAAGTCCATGATGGTTGACTGGAAGCCCTTTCAGGCCTCAGTGATTTCCTATAACAACCTTTAATCACATAAAAATGAACAGCCTACGAGCAAACACTGCCACTATTCGCCCACTAGAAAACAAAATCAAACAAGAACTCAGAAATGCAACTTTTCTCAAAGCAACATTCAATTTATTAAAGCCAACTGTGAGAGGTTTATTTCAGGCTTTCTCTGATAATTAAAAACTCTCTCTTCAAAGGTTCATTCTACAACAAAACGGGATTCTAAAACAGACCGATTGTAAGCCAGTAAAAGCTGTACAAAACACATCTGTACCATAGAAGTGTTTTTATTGATGTTTTGTTACATTCATTTTTCTCAGTTCTTGTCCCAGGTTGCTTATCTCTGGGTATAATCATTATCTAACAGCAGAGAAACATGGTTCCTGCTTGAGGCTCTGCATAGACAGAACTTCCAGTTTCTACTGTGTGAATCATAAAACTAAGAGGAATTTTGCGCAAAGAAATAAAGAATTCCTTTCAGATGATCTTGCACAGCTATTTCTTGTAAGGAATTCTTCTGTGATATCACTAAAGTGACCGAACTGAACGCTGTTGCAACATTAGTACCCAGAAATACGCTGCTGATCCTCCACAGTAATGTCTTAGAACTGGAAGCATTCCCATCCGTCATCTCTGCAATATTACCACATGTGCTGCAATAATGTTAGTCTATTCACTATTATTATTTCGTCTTAATACCAAAATCTGATGAGTTCTGTGTTGCCAAGTTTCATACTATCCCGGGGCACAAATGACTAATCTACAAAATGACACCCTCTTGCTGCTGTCAGGTATATATGAGAAAGAACAATAAATCACATCTTCCTGGAGCTTTTTTCTCAGCTCTTGCCACATGCTCACACCAACAGCTGGATGTATAACAAACATTGAAATACATTCTGTTCCTTGTAATAAGGAGAGAAGAAATTCCTTTACTTTCACATCTTTTCCCTTTTGTTGTTTCAACATACTGGGACAAGGGCACATGTCTGGATTTTGTCATGGATGGGTTCAATTTTAAACCACAAATGAAAGAAATATAACACTGCTGCAATCTTTCAGAGGCTGGTGAAATTATAGTGGCAATGTGGGAGCATGTCAGATGATATGGTATTTAAACATGCTCATTTAAAATGGAAATATTCTTTTCTGTGCAGTGTAGGAAAAAAATAAATACTAAAAATAACATCAGAAATGCCTACAAATATACTTTCCTAAAACTATCAAGGTTTATTTTGGTCTGTTGTAGGCCTCATCAACTTTTGCTCTAAAAGGGCCTTGTTCAGAAAGGACTGTTTCCTGTGCAGCATTGCTATTCTTGGCAGCATCCTACAGATGGGACTGATTTCTGACAGACCACACACCATTTTAAAGGGAGGATGGAGTTTATTTTGTATGAAGGAGCTAGCAAATACATCTCAAATGGGTCCAGATATTTATAATAATTAAGTTAGCTACACATTTAGCACTCCATCATTTCTTCCCTGCTACCACACCCTTTCTGAAATGAATAAATACATAAAAGACTGTGGTTACGATCAGCTTCATGGCTCGTCGCCTTGACGTGCTCGTTGGTTCTTAGAGGTTTCCAGCTGCTCTATGCAGACATGTGCAAAGCTGTATGTGAAATCAAACAGGATATCATTAAGGCAAAGTTTTGAAAGACGGCACGTGTTCAGCACACGTGACTGTGTGTGTACTGTAGGTTTCTATGCGTGTACACAGAGCAAAGCAGCAATCAACATGGCAGACGCATGTTTCCTGGCCTGCACTGCAATGGTGCAGCTGTTGATTCAGCTGGGATACATGTGTGTATTTGGGAGGGGGACTCGTGGTGGGGGTTGGGGGGGGGGGGTTGTGGGTTACGAGACTGACCGAGGAAACAGCAGAGCTCAAAGGTGGCAATACTGACTGAACCATCCTCGTGAGACTCAGCAGTCATCATACCCGAGTTCACGTTAATAATCCAAATACTAATTCCCAGCTAAAGCCCTATTACACCTCAGGGTAACACTAATATGTGCAAGGTTATGGAAGACCAGCACATTATAAGGAGGGCACGTCTGCTGAAAACACTGCTGTTGAAATGCTTCTAAGGAGGAAGCAAGGTAAAAAAAATTTAAGCTGCATAATAAGCATATGCTTATATACGTTTTGCTTTGATGGAACTAATACCAAGTTATTTCAACGGCTCATGATTTTATATCAACCTGCAAAACATTTCATCCTGAGTAGGGATATGATATTTATAATCTACAGCATATAACATGCTAGCTAGAATAACAGTATTCAGGTCGAATCATTTTAAACTGATGGCAGTTTCAAATTGCTCAAATCGTTGACTTTTAGAGCTGCTGTGTGGCAGCATTTGTTTTAACATGAGCAGCAGGCAAACTGACGAACGCAAAACAATCTGCTAAGCAACAAAGCAACAAGTCCTAACCCAGAACCGAGTTAGGATTTTTGCACTTCAGTTCTCAGAAATCCTAAAATTGGTGTTGTCGTCTTGCTGAAGAAATCATGTAAGCGCCATAAATTTCCGTTTGCCACAGAGCTTTTTTTTGTTTTTTTTGCAAGAATTCAGACTCACGTTAAAATCAGATTGGCTTTTCTTTGAAGGAACCAAAGTGATGCAAACTTGGCCAACAAAAATACATCATCCTTATGGCAGTCTATACTAGCCCCATTTGGGACAAACAGTCTAATATATATCTCGTAGAAACAGTTTGGACACGGCTGTGCGCTACACTTTAACTGCGAGGGCCAAACAAACCGAACGCACATATACAAAATCTACCACTTAGTGACCACCCTTAAAGTCTTTTCTCTTGAAAAAGTAGACCACGATGGTTGAAAAACATTAAACCGAACCACAAAATACAACAACGCTGTAAACCAAATACAATGAATTATGCCTGGCCTGAGATTTGACTGCACTGGCACTTAATGCACATATCACACTTGGCATTATTTATAGAACCATGACTCTTGGGAAGGAGAGATGGAAGAGGGATTAGGGATGAACCGGCCAGAGGTTCAAAGGGATTTCTCAACTCAAATCGACTCCAGGCTCTTCTGTGGTCCAGTTACCGGCTCAACTAGCTGAGCCTTTCAGCTCTTCGCTGTCCCATTGCTGAACTTCTGCACAGCTCTCCAAATAGCTCATTGGTCTGTGCCACGATTTGACACTCCAAAGCTCAGAGTCCAAATCTTTCAGAGCACAATAGTGTTTACTGATGCACATTTCCTATGAAATGATCACACCTCATCTGTATAGAAATCACCTTAATACCAGACTGATAATGACAGAGTGCAATTATAAAATGAGAAGAGGAGGAATGAGGGAAATGCAGGAGGGGAACCAGGCGGAGACAGGAGACCAAAAGAAAAACTGACCAACGTAGCTGTCGACATTCCCCCACATGAGCTGCGGGGACTTGGACATGGCTAATTTCACAGCTGTGGCATCCTCCTGTGGTCCCACTTTGTTTCCCCATCCTTTTTACTTTTCACTGACTTTATAAAGAAAGTGGACTGTTTGCTCTGCATTATAAAATGTTCCTCTGGACTGGAAGTCCAGCAGACAGTGAGTAAGAGGGTTTGATCAACCACAGCAATTGGGACTGGAGAACAAAGGCAAGGGCGGACCATTTTATGTTGCTCTCATCCGCAAATGAACTCTAAATCTCACTGAGGCAACTATGAAATCCCCATCTGAAAGCAGAACATTTAAAAATGTGTGTGTCAAAAATGACCATTTGTCTTCTTGTGTGTGGAAGAAAGTTGCTATGCTTGTACTTGATCAGTCTCCTTGAGTGTGTGTGGTACATGGGTGTGTCGGTCAGACAGGGAGCAGTCTGACTAAGGCTTTCCATTCTTCCATCAGCTTCAAGGTATTTCACACACACCTTGTCCATTTTCTTCCAACAATACTGTTCTGTAGTCATGCTCAGTGTTTAATTATCCTGACATTAATTGGGCAGGCTTAGCAGTCACACTATCAGAAGGAAAAAAAAAAATTGAAATGACCTCTCTATTAATACAATTAATTTAACACTCCTCACCAGCCTGCCAACCCAAACAGCTGCAGACTAATTTCTAATTGACAATTTAATCCTGAGTAACCACAGCTTCTTTGAACAAGCTATGACAATATTCAAGCCAGACTTTAAAAACCATGATTGGCAGCCGTAATTATCAGAACAGCTTTGTGGAGTGAGGTACACACCTACACTGGATCTCTTAAACATTACAGTTGTATCTGAACCAAAAGAAGTGAAGACAGAGCTACAGCACATCGAGAGTCCTTGTTAAAATTCCAAAGAGGGGAATCTTAAGGCGCCTGGTTTGCATTACTTGGCTTTTGAAAACTGCTTTCAGGAACAGTTAAATTGCCTCCTTCTTTGACATTTAACACAGCTTCATAACATCCAAAACCAAACCCAGAAAACAAAGGGTGAATGATAAAACAAACTACCGTCCATCATTTATTTTATTACAGCCCATTAACATACTATACAAGGAGTTTAACTTATTCAGAAAAGGGAATTTTAAACAAACGAATCTGCTTGATATATTTAAAGAGAACCACATCATTACTGAGATACCATAATTACTGCTGCCATAATTCCATTAGGGCAGTCAGCAGTTTTTTTTTCCAATGCCATGTGATCAGGCACATTTAATTTCAGTCCTGTATCAACTGACACACAGTTAGCGTTGGTACGACAGGGCAAAACATTTTATCAGTTCATATCAGACAGTTCGGCACATCACAAATTGACTATTTTAGCTGAGTTTAAAGATTTTCTTAAGCTTCACATTCCTTGGTAGCTGATTCAGAACATGAAACTATATTTACAATAAAAAAAATAAGTGAATAAAAGTAAAAACTTCAGTATATTCTGTATTATCCTTCTTGCTGATGCTTATGAGCAGGGAGCTTATGTCAGTTACATTCACCTGCCAAAATCTCTTTTCTCACATACATTCCATCTTCTGTCATTAAAAACATGGAGCTTACACAGGACATATCTTTAAGGTTAGCGCTTGTATAATTAATAAAAAGACCTACTTAAACTCTGCAATAACTTGTAAAACCAGACAGTGCCACACACTTGACTGATTGAGTACCAGTTAGACATAGCTAAAACAAAATCCCATTACTTAAGATCACTGAGGCAAATCCTTGCTTTATTACACGTAATGAAGCTTCAGGACATTAACTGAATCAGTGGCAAAGAAGAGCCAGTGAGGCAGCGCTGGCACGATCAGGCCTGGGTTAACCTCTCTCTCATTTTAAACTGTAGATAATCATATGATTTTACATTATTTCGGCAAGAAAGGGCCACACTGTTGTGTCAGCTGTGGTAGAGGATTGGAGCCCTGGAGTGATTCAACGTCAGTGTCATTCCATTGTTCTTGTTTGTTTTGATTTGTCATTACGAATGATTGGAGGCGCACCTGACATCTGCTCCATTACCAAAAAAGAAGCTCTGGTCATTTGGCCTGAAAACAACCCAAACACAAAGCAAACACCATCCAAGTGCAGACTACACACTTACCTTCTGAAAGAAATCCTCCCCGCCATTAACTCTTCCCTCAGAAGCAGCTAGAGTGAAACAAAGAAAAATAAATGTATGAAACCACATACATGTACTCTGTTTTGAACATGCAATGTAGTTTTAACATGGTCAAACACACAGATTATCCAGTCTCCTTGAAATGTTACAGTATCCTCATTCAGAACAGTGTTTATGGTGGATCTCAGTTTCTCTGGGTAAATGACCTTATACTTGTATGGCGTCTTTCTACGCAATGAAGTTCACTCAAATCGTTTTACACCATTTATCATTCACACACACAAGCATTCACACACCAGTGATAGCACTGGGAGCAACTAGGGGTTCAGTGTCTTGCTCAAGGACACGTCGACTGCCAACCCTGCGGTTATGAGACGACCCGCTCTACCTCCTAAGCCTACAGTAGGTGTCTGGCACAGCTACTGATACTGCTCATTTGCAGGGATACGAATAAAATGGTCCAAGTAATTTTCTATAATCTTGAGATTGGATACAGCTTCTGTGTAACAAATTGAAGGATCCATTGAAAATATTTGGGCATTTTACAGCAGCTGTTAATGAAATATTTCACACCGCTTTTGGGTCAACTCGTACCTTTCACACTTCTTACATCTTTCACACCTTTAAAATTCAATAAGACAAACAGAATAAAAACCAAAGCAAGTCAGGCCTGTAGCTGCTCCAACACATCTGCAAGTTCTCAGAACTGTGGATTTTCTGCTGGGGCAAAATACATATCTGCTCTCCAAGGAGAATTCTCAAGTTCCTGTCATTTGGGAGTACAGGGAAAGTTTAATGATGCTTTTCAGTGAGCGTCCCCGAGATTATTCTGTTGCTGCCTGTGCAAATCTGGGTCAGGAGCTGCAGCAGAGTCAGTGTGGGTTATACACTGACCTCGGTGTGGCAGCAAGAATGGTATCAGGATTAAAAAAAGAAAGTACTACAATGTTTCATCTGCAGAAAAAAAGAAATTCTTTCAGAGTAAACATAACATGCACAGAGATTGGCATCTATGGAGCTGTAACTAAACTGATTGAGTTCCAAGTTCCAGATGGAGCACACTGGTGTCTGTTGAACATGAGCAACCAACACTGAAACATCAGCTGATTAATCCATCAGTCGTTTGCCAGGAAATACACAACGACTTTGACAATTGTTTAAGTGATTTATCAGGTTCAAAGTGCCAGTAACTCTCTAGTACCGCAATTCTCAATTTTAAAAACATGCAGATTTTCTTTGTTTTATGCAACAGTAAATTCAATATGTTTTTGAGTGTTGGTGGGGGCAAAGCAATCGATCGATATGTCACATTGGGCTTTAAGAAACTTGAGTTGGCATTTGTCTCTACAATTTTACTGACTACATGAGCCACTGAGAACATACTTTGCAGATTAAATGATAATAAAAATAGTAGGTTGCAGCCCTTCACACTATACTTCTAAAAATACTTCTAGTAACCACATGTTGATAGATAAACAAAATACGTTTTCCTGCAGTCTGAAAATATTTAGTGGCTTTAAGTGCAACACATAATGAACCATTGTGTTCTGCAGTGGAGTTGTCAAGAACACATGAAGCTAACCAATTACCTGGAATTTGATGCAGCACTTCTGTACACATAAATTGCCTTTAAAATTAGTTCCTCTTAGCAAGCATCCAGTGCCTGCAGTGCATCACCATGTGTGAAAAACACCGATATGACTCCCCCCCCCCCCCATCAACCCAACCACCTTTCAAAGCATGGAAAATGAAAACACTCACTAAACTCAGTTTCATTTTCAACCAGACCTGACATTGTGGCCTTTGGCAATGCAGTAATGCCTACATCATGAGCATTTAACACGTCTTTGTACTTACGCAGGTTGCCAGCAAACAAGTCCAGGCCACAGTTTATGAAGACATGGAGACTGGTCTGCCCTGGCTCAACAGCTAAGTCAATTTCAGATGCAATTTGTGCACATGAAACGCTAACCACCCCACTGCAGTGATAATAGATGAGTCTTGGCTTCTCTCTTGCTTATTATTCAAAACACAAGAATAATAAAAGGGAATTTAAGAAGGATGCACATAAGAAAATGATGGCCAAAGTAGGGTAACACGATAGTTTAACAGCATTTCAGTCGATTTCTATAAAGCAGTCACAGAAATACAAGAAATATTCTAGCCACAAACTATCACCTTCTGTCATTCACATCCTCATTATGCAGCATCAGTTTAAACAAGATAACATCCAACTCCATACTTCACCCACAAAGTAAAGAAACATGTTGCCAATCCACTGAGCTCCAACACATCCAATAATAGTAAAGTTTTAATGTTCCCCAAGGGTCCATCTGGCTTGCAGACAGCAGTCTACAGAAAATAGAATCTTAAGATACTGATATTAAAACTGACAATGCCATGCATACAAAAACAAGTACACAGATGAACCTCCACATCAAGAAAAAAAAAAAAAGTTTTAATCCCGGTACCTGATTTGGAAACAGCTGTAAAAGAAAACATTGCCAAGTGGAAACTCACAGATAGGAAATAAGAAATTGGCAGATGACTCCTTAGTTGCTTCAAGAGCCTCCACTTCTTTTGTTTAAAGTTAGGATGATTTTACCAAATAAGTGATGCTCACAGTGATGCACTCGGCATGCAGCCAGGTGCTGTGGATAACCAGATGACATAAGACGGTGGAAAGGAAATGCAGCTCACCATTAACACCTAATGTGAACTGACCAACAGTGAGGATTATAGTTGAAACTATTAAACGATAACTGACTGGTTGACTTGTTAAGAATAAGGATGTGGCTGGGAATTTGAGCAGTGGGAAGTGGATAGGACATCAGCCAAGACATGTACAGCATAAATCTGATATCTGTATCTGATGATAAATAATCTACGCTGCATTCACACAAAGTAAATATATTCGGTTCATGTTGATGATGATAGGTTTACAGTAGGTTGACAGAAGTGCTCAGTTCTTAGGTGGCCTGACATTATCCAAGATTAAGAAAGAGCCCGTTACTGGAAGGGCTTCTTGTAAGAACCAAGACAAACAAAGGGGAGTGCAGCAACATTCAACAGACCCACTTGTCAACTGAAAAACTGACTCAAAGCAGGTCAAGTTGCTCTTTTTCTCTCATCTACGAAACCAGTTAAAGTTAATATCTGGCATTTTATGGGAGAAGGAAAAAGACACACCATCTTTGTGGTACAGTACATCTGCCCAAGTTGTGGGGATGATGTCAGACATAGTCACAAAAGTGAAGATGTATAGCTACCAAACTGTGATACTCAGCAAGCCAGCATAACATTTAGGTCCAGTAAATAAACACCACCACCAACTGGGCAGTTATGTGAAGGTAGCCTGCAGATAACAAGAAGGTCAAAAAGGGACCAATGACATGATTTAGGAGCCAACTATAAAGAAAATGAAATTATGTGTTCAGTTGTTGAGATTGCACAACTGACTAACTGCAACAAATGTGAAGTGGATTTCTGACATACAAGCACAGGGAGCTGAAAGAAATCAGATAAGGGCCATGAGTGAAAACATGAGCCATGTGCTGAGAGCAAAACATCCTGCTGGCACATGTGTGCTGAGTAAACTGGCCGTGGGAAAACTGGCAGCAGAGGTAGGAGGGGTATGGCGGGGTGCCCTGTGAGCACTGGGATTCTGGATATTATGACACCCTATGCACCACTTATTCTAAATCTGCATTGAGCTCTAAGTAAAACAGCTCTGAAAACACTTGAATGAGAGCATTTCTGACTTTAATTCTGCTCTCAATCAGCTATAAGCCAAAAAAGCCACTTGAGGCAGTTGTAGCTGCTTGGGGAGCTTCACAAGGTCTCATGTTCACTGGTGTCCTTTAGCAGGCTGGAAAAAAAAACTGAGCCAATGAGAACTTTATAGGTGGGATGTTATCATCCCGTGCCAGAGCCTAAAAATGGATGAGTGAGATCATCACAACTACACAGGTTTTGAAAGATGAGCTATAACAACAACAACAAAAAAAACCCTCTTAAATCATCGCACGTGTTTGACAACTAATATTAAAAGAGAAATTTTATACAACAAGTACGTCTACAGGTAGTGGGGATTACTGCTGTATTACTTTCAGAAAAAAGTCTCAGAGGTTTGATAAAGTGCATCAAATGAAGTCACTCATCTAAAAATGAAAAAAGTCTGTGGGTGTGGAGCTTAGAAAGATATGAGCTCACTAGAGCTCAGTTAAATTGTTGTCACAGCTTGAAGCTAGCAGCTCAAGGCTATATTCTAGTAGCAGCTACTAGTGTAACACACTCAAATCTGAGACTGAACAGTTTGGGGCCCGAGTTGCATTGTGGGTAATACAAGTTTTGAAAGGAAGGAATACATGAAACAGAGATGACAATAGGTGAATCCCAAGCCCCTTATTTTATTGCTCCTCGGTCTTTGTTCAACCTTGAACTCATTGCAGTCCACCATGATGAAGGATGTGCCAAAGCTCATTTCTGCTATGAGGAGCGAGGAAGCTGCTTGGAGGAGCTATAGAACTAGGATACACAGGTGCATCCTTAGTGGAAGTCTGTTACGGACTGACACGCCTCTTTATCTGGAATCAGTTTGTGATTAGATGCTTCACA